CAGGGCTTCGTCCTCCTGCCCAAGACGGAGTGTGACGTGGCGGAGGTGGAGTTCGCCCGGTGCCTGCGGCTGCGGCAAAGCTCCCTGGAGCCCGTGGCCTTCCGGCTGCCCCGAGTCAGGGTGAGGCTCCAGCCCCCTGGCCCCGCCCCGCCTGAGGCTTTGGGACCTGTCTGCCCTGTCCCCAGCTGCCCTACTCGCTGCCCTCTGGGGCTCCTGCCCCCTTCCTCTCCGGTCTGGGGCTCTGGGACACCCCAGCTGAGGGCGGGCGCAGGTCTCGTCCCCGGCGCTGCAGTGCCCTGCGCCAGGCCTGCCTCAGCTGCCCCTCCCCTCCGCAGAAAGAGTTCTTCCAGGACGACGTGTTCCCGGACACGGCCGTGAGCTGGGAGCCGGCGCTCACTGCCCAGGCCTGGCTGGGGGGCGCCAACGGGCAGCCCCGGCGTCTCAGCCTCCAGCCCCCCGGCATGACTCCAGGTGCGGCGAGGGGCTCGAGGGTGGGTAGGAATAGGCGGGGGCAGGGCTGGGGATAGGGCAGAGGGCCAAGTCCAGCGGAAGCTGGCCCTCAGGGCTCTGGGGACTGCATCTCCGGCTCAGCCTCTGGGCCGCCGGAGGGAGGGCCCGAGGTCTGTCCACCCGCCCCTGCACCGTGCCCACACGCAGGCTGGTGCCCCGACGGCCTTATGAACAGGGTAGAGAAGACGCCCATGCCACTTCTGGGGTCTCTGAGGGGCTGCCCTACAGGGTGGGGATTCCTCTGAGCGGGGACGCTGATGCCTGCCCTTGCCCGGCCCAGTGAGCCAGGCCCCCCGTGAGGCCCCTGTCCGGCGGACCCCCTCCTCGGCACTCTACCTGGAAGAGAAGTCAGACCAGCAAAAGAAGGAGGAGGTAGGCGTGGGAGAAGCTGACCTGGGGGTCAGTTGCCGGGCCAGCTCAGGCGGGGGCTGGGGCAGTGTCCACCCTCTCAGTTGGACAGCTCATGGGGACGCCGTCCAGACCACTGCCTCCAGAGCAGGCCCCCTGGAAGCCGGGGAGGGGCAGCGGGGACCCTGCTGGCCAGGCTCCAGGCCAGAGAGCCGGAAGCTCCGGGACTCAAGTATGGGGTGCACACTGGGGGGCGAGGTGACATGTGGGGCTCCAGTGTGCATGGCCTGTCCAGGTGTCGTCTTCGAGGACACACCCATGTCAGGCTCTTGGCACCCTGATGTGGGGTTCGAAGTGTGGGGGCGGTTCCTGGCGCTCTGAGTCCCATTGTGGGCCCCCCTCTGCCCCCCCCCCAGCTGCTGAATGCCATGGTGGCGAAGCTGGGGAACCGGGAGGACCCCCTCCCCCAGGACTCCTTTGAAGGTGTGGACGAGGACGAGTGGGTAAGTAGATCAGGGCCCCGTTGTGTGTCCGCCACCCCCCGTCCCCCGCCCCCTCACACTTCTTGGGTTGTCTCCCCAGGACTAGCCTGCCCGCCAGCTGCCTGCCGCGGCCTCCGCCGGGAACCACCTGGTGACCCCGCACACGTCACGTCTCACCCTGAAACTGGAAGGTGTCTCCTGGCCCTGCTCCCTCGGGGCCAGCACACCCCCCGTGAATTGTCCGCACCCCTGCTTCATCTGGGGCCGCTGGGTCTCAGCTGCCTGCTCGCATGTGGAGAAGGGCCGTGGGGCCAGTGGCGGGGGTCAGTGTAGGTCCCTGGAGGGCACCTCCTTGGACCTGGGCTGGTCCCAGCCTCGGCTGCCTTCACCTGGCACCTTCCGTTACCACCTGCCACCCCTTCTTGCTGGTCATCCCAGTTCTAGTCTAGGGCCTTGGGGGGCTGGCCCCCCGCTTGCCTTTCAAGGACTGGCCTGCATGGGCCCTGCCTGGGGTTTCAGCAATTAAACTCTTCTGAGCTGGCCCCTGCTGTGAGGCTGCGGTCTCTGGGCCCGTGGTGGGGGCGATTCCTGTCTCCATGGCCATGCTCAGACAGAAGCCCTGGGCAGGAGGGCGCCGTTCCAGGTGCTGCTCTGGGTCTGGCGCAGGACGGCCATGACCAAAGGGAGCATAAGACGGCTGGGGGAAGGCGGGAGGCCGAGCCCAGCCATAGGGACTGAGCAGGTGACCTTGAGGCTGGGAGCCCCGACCTGAAGGCCGCTGGGCATGGAGAGAGCAAGGCCAGTGTTCCCCGTGGAAGGAAGGAGGGCCTGGGCTTGAGGAGAGAGGACATCACCCAGGGCGTCACATCCCAGAGGGGACAGGGACAGGGCCTGGCCCGCCAGAGCCCCAACTCCGGGGGAGGGCCCCGAGGGCTCGTGGCTGGCACAGACAAGTGCTTCCACGGGCATCAAGAATGGAGGTCGCCCTCAGACACGAGAGGCCACCGCTGACCACCGCGGGGCAGGGCGCGTGGGTTGGCGGGGGCAGTGACCACGGGTTCTGGGGGGCTGAGGTAGGTACATGGGGACTAGATGGCGGTGGCAGGTGACAGCTCTACGTGTACCAGAAAGCAGCAAGTTTCGCACTTTGAGAGGGTGAGGTGAGAGTGTTTAAGCTACAGCTCGGTGAAGTGGCTTGCTTGCTTTTTTTTTTTTTTAAAGATTTATTTTGTGCATACAGAACTGGGGTACAGGCCAGAGGCTCAGGGGCGGTGAGAGGCTTCACCAGAGACAGAGTGGGGAGCAGAACGGGCAGATGGACGAAGTCCACTGCTGAGGGGAGCAGCGGGCGGGTCAGGAGAGGTCTGTCGCGCCCTGTGGTCTCCTCCGGGGCAGGCGGGGATCGAACTCATGCGGAAGAGGCTTTAGATTTTCAGTGCTGCGCTTTAACCCGCTGCGCCACCAGGGAGGGCCGAAGTGGCTTTCTTAAGGAGTGGAGAGCCTGGTGGGGAAGGTGAGGTCTGAACAGGCCCGAGGGGGGCCGCCCAACCTCCCCCCAAACCCCAGAAGCTTCCCAGGCAGGAGGAACCTGGAATGAAAGCTACTTTGAAGTTTTGTTTCTTTATGAAACTTTGGCTTCCCAGTCTGGGCCGTTGTGTGCACTGCCCATCTTTTGGTGCCAAATATTCGGACAAAGTCACGAGAAGCCAGAGAGGCCCCCCGACCCCCCTGCACCCACCCAGGCGTCCCCGGAGCCCAGCGAAGGCCCCGCCCGCTATACGTCACTGCTCCGCCCACACTATACGTCATCATGCTCCGCCCTCAGCGGAAGCACTGCGCATGCCCGGTGCGGCGCCGCGCACGCGCTCTCGGCTGCTCCTTTACACTCTGACCCGCCGGCCGCCCTTGAGCCGGGGCGGCGGGGCCGGACCGCGGGACCCGCGCCCCCC